AAATAATATATATATATATATATATATATATGGTAATGGAACTGTAGTTTTGAGTTGTAGTGCCACATGTTACATGTTTAGTATCAATATATTTATTTCACAGTCACTGATTACCCAATCATTCAATAGTGTAATGACACCACAGATACACTAACAACTGAAAATGTGTCAGCTTTTTCCAAGAAAGGATATTCATATACAAAATTAGCAAAGCCCAGAAAACACACCAATTTCAAAGATGATTATGTATAACACAGTGAACAGCATTGGTAAGTACACCCATATGAGAATGTAAATCCATCCAAGTAGCATCCCACCATACACAGCCTGCAACAACCAGTCAAAGTTTGCACATTGGTAGTAAAGAAAACTTCCACCAAGAAAGTAACTGCTAACACATTTCACAAAAATGTTCCTGACAAAAAGAAACAAACCAACAAAGATCTTGCACTTATAAAGCAACATACACCATAATGTATAAGCTGTTTCAAAGACATTCTGGTGACAGAAAGACAAACTGCATGAAAAATGTTTTGCACGAGACAGGTGTAAATATATTGCAAAATTAAACAAGGCTTAAGTGTACTTAAATGAACATAAGAGGAGAAGAAGAATTTACTATTAAACCACAAGGTGGTAAGGGCTTTCCAACATGGTACAGAAAATGTATAGAAAACGTTTTGTCAGGACTCAAGGTTACTGCAAATTTCTTAAAAAATAAGAACTTCACAACAGATCAAAGGGCAGCTCTAGTTATCATAAAAAAATAATACTGACATCAATTATGTGATATGAAATTCCTTCATCATATGGCCAGGATATGGCTAACACCAAGTTATGGGTCTAAGTCCATGACAGTATTTCTATGATACTATTAGAGATTTGAAGTCATTTGACTGTGCACCTTTGGTTTGATCAAACATCATCTTGGAAGCCGATATCCAAATGCATTAAAGCTTCTGGAAAAACTGTCAAGTTGTGTGATATAAAGCTGATCACACTATTATACAGTAGCTTGTTATGATAGAAATTGTGGTGTTGGGCAATAGCACATTACCGATGGCCAAAAACTTGAGCACAGGCAATAACAGGGGAAATAGTACTAAGAGCAGCAAAGGACCTGGAGAATTATTCTTATAAAATGCAACCAACCCTAACTTTGTTGTAGTTTCATCTCCAATATTCTTCACACATTATCACAAACTTCAGAGAGTTCAAGCAAAATAAAATGTCACAAAGTAAACAAGGGTTGACTTCATTCCAACATGCTGTTAGTTACAACAAATGTTTAAATAAAAGAGTAAAAAATAAAATCTTTTAACATAATTAAAAATATAGATGCTTTTGTTCACGTACTTACCTCCAGATAAAGTACCCGATGGATCAAACACCTCACCATCTAGCGTGACAGTCCGCTTCTTGATTCCTTCTGCAAAAGTAACCTCTTTTGCTGTGTTCATGCTAGGGCAAACTAAGGTGCTTCCAAACACATATTTCATTGCAGCTTCCACTTCTTTCTCATAGCCAACCAAAGAGAGTGCTGTATGAACATTTTCCTTGCCAACCTACAATACCATATAAGATGCTTATAGATCTTTACTTTCTTCAAATAACAATAAATTGAAAACGCGACTTGCCACTGAATCCTATATTAAATTATGTTTGATAGCAACTTTTTAGTTTGAAAGAGGTGAAACATTTGTGACATTTTGAGGTATTTTACAATATTTTCAAATGCTTCAAGAAATGAGAAATATAAATTTGATAAGATTCCATGTGGGCACTCAGTTGAATAGTGTAGTTAGGAAATTGATGTAAAATGAATAATATTAAAGATAATTCAAAGTAAAGTATGTCTGAGCACAATTCAAACCATGTCTTAGTAGATAATTTGTTGATCATAGTAACTTGATGACTATTGTATGGAGTTTAATTAATGAAACTTTGATTGCTCAGAACAAAAAATTTGATACTTTTGTTGATGTTAATGTAGACGAATATTTGAATATATTGTATTAAAGATTTGATGTCATTTTGGATATCAATCTCAATCAATTCTTTATTCTAACTGTAAACTTCCTCGAGTTGGTGACTCCACTTGTAACTGTATACCTGGATTTACAATAAATCTATTTGTAACTGGATTTAAAGTCGAACTCCAAACGACTAACCTACACAGCCTTCCCTTACAGTAGGCATTTATTAAAAATATTTCAAGCATATAATGGTGGGAGTGGTAAGACTAGGGGAGACACAAATATAAATGTTTAGCAGCTAAGGTAACTTTGTTTTTCTAACTTGGTGGTTGACTTTTGACATGGGTTGCCTTCAGATATGGTAAGATATGGTTGCCTTCAGATATGGTAAGATATGGTTGCCTTCAGATATGGTAAGATATGGTTGCCTTCAGATATGGTAGATGCAGTTAATTTAAGGGAAATTAAAGGAAGGCTTGATAAACATTTGAATGATAAGGGTTGGCTTTGAGTGTTTTACTTTTATTTGAGCTAGGTATAGTGGATGGGATAGCTTAGATGGACCAACAGGTCCCTTGTTGTCTTCAAATTGTATATATGTGTATTTTTCTTTATTCACCTGTCTACAAAATGCAGCATAATAAATGTACTTACCAAAGCTTCTGCCTTCTTTAGTGTATTATTGTCAATACACTGGCCCATTATCTTGTTCAGTGGAATTATAGTGTATCTTCGTTTCAGTTGGCCCTTCTCCAACAACTTTTTCCCAACTACTTCACTTTCCACCACAATATTATACAACTATAAAATAGAGTTAACAATCCTATTAAAGACTTCAAAATTTTTCTTTTTCCCATTACAATGTCTGAAATACACCTCCAAAATCAATATAATGACTTAAGCATCAATCAATATTTGGCAATCAATCATGACCCTATTGTAATGCAAGTGAAATGACCATATATTTAAGCAAAACAGACTAATGTTCATTTTATGCCAAAAACATCATTCTTTGAAATAATTCTTGTTTTATACTAACTAAAGGTTTGGTAATATTACATTTATTAATGGAAGAAATATGAAGAAATGACCAATAACCGATACATAGAAATTGCTCTTAACTGAACACAAACATATAATCAAATTGTAAAGGTAAATATTTATTCTGCTTTGTACTTAAAGTTGCAAAATTACTCCTATTGAAGCTTGTTTGGGTGTGCTGCAGATTTGAAACTATTGAACATTAACTGGAACATTAACTACTTTGTGATAACAATCCTAATAATTGCATATCTTTTGTAATTAATTTTTGAAACATGGTTTTGCTTTGATTGGTATTAAGAAATGTTTAAAAAATTTCCATTTAACCCCATCGCCCCTTGTATCCTTTACTGCACATGGCACAAAGTTTTAGTGTCTTACAATAAAAATATTATTAAACCACCTTTTGTTTATGTTATACTAATTAGTATAGCATAAAATCTTAGATAATAATTCATATTTTAATAGTATATAAGTTTTAAGCTCTTAATTCTATAAGGCAATATTTAAAAACATCCTGAATTTCTCCTAGTGTGACACATTTTCTCTAGGTATATTCTCTTCTCTATTTTATCCACCACCCCTCCAAAAAGTACAAAATTAAATGTAAATTACTCCCTATAAAATAGTCATTGCTCAGATAATCCATAATTTTTATAGCCTTCAATTTTGTTTGGTTACAGAGTTAGCAAATGGAAAATCAGACCCCTCCTGCCACACCCACCTGTCACATCTTCTTTTTCAGGATTTGTTAATAGTTCTCTCTTAGATTTAATTATACATTACCTATAACCAATAGAAAGTCAGGGTTTTTATCTATCAAATGATGCATTATACAACGTTGTATTATGAACAGAATATCATCAAATTCACTCAGAGTACAAGATTCCTTCCCATGGGAATGTTAATGACTAGCTTGGATAAATTTGTAACGACTCTTGTCACATAGTTAGAAAGCAAGAAAAATGTTGAGAGTTAGGAGAAATTGTCCACTTTTCCATGTTATTAGTCTATGTTCTTTGGTGCATTATATAATTCAAAAAAATAATTTAGTGCATTACTATCATTAGTATAAAAAAAGTAGGGTTAACTGTAATCGAAAATAGAGAGCAAGAAAAAGAAGATTGGGTATTTTATTTCTTGTTTTTCACACTTATCCTTTATTTATTATTATAAAAGTAAATAAAATGTAAAAGTAGGAATCTTTTTAGGTTAGTTAAGGTTAAATTAGGTAAAATAAATAATAATAATATAATAAAAATGTTTCATGAAACATGCTAGCAGCTCGTGGGTATTGTAATTCAATTGCGTAACATGAGCTGCACGTTCCACAAGTGATTTACAACTTATAATGGCATGAATAGTAGTTAGGCATGGTTCAAAGGGCAATAAAACAATAATATTTAATTATAAGTAGATGTATGCTATTACAAGCTTAAAGCTACTTAGGAAAATGAATGTAGTTTCATGTTACAATCTCAAGTCATTCCCAAAAGAAAAAAAAAAGGGTAATTTAGATTTATTAAAAATGTTTTTTTGGTGGTTACAAGGTTGGTCAAATTGACCGATCCCGTATAGAGATAGGCTAGAGAAAATAACAGATGAAATATACAGTTTTATGAAAAAAAAGTTTGAAATGTATTTAGGAGGTTTTAGGGATTACGCAAAGGAAATGTGAGATTGAGATGAAGATAAGTATTTTCAATCTTAACATGAAAATTACTTTGCAAATGGACTATTCAAACCAAATACTTAATATATTCATTGACAAATCTATATTTTAGTTTATTAAAAATACTTCACTAAAAATATGATTTTTTTTTGTGAAAGATTTATAATGTTAACTGAAAGACTGCCAAATTTTGTGAAGATATACACACTATATTGAAAGTTCAAAGTATTAAATCTATAAAGACTTTAAATGAGTACAAAGAGGTCATGTGGTCCATCAAATTGACCGAGCCTATGTTGAGAGAGTTAAATGTGCAGACTGTACAGTGAAATTGCTCAAACAGATTCATAAAAATCATTTATTTTCTATGGAAAATACATAGGATATTCCAACAGTGATTATTGGGATTAATTACAATATTGTAGGTATTTTCTTTAAAATTATTTTATGTAACTTATATGTTATTAAGAACCCTGTAACCAACAAATTGTCAGAACCACAAACAATATACAACTCTAACTTACAATTTTCCCAAACCTTAACAGCTGACATTGTAAGTTTTTGTCTGTTTTTGGTAATAATGAAAGTAGCAGTATCAAAGTAAAAAAGTATCAAAGCTTTGGATGTTTTTACTGTTGTATACCCTAGGGCCAAAGCATACCAACATAAAACATGTGTTCTTTAATAAACATTAAGACAGACTTTGCTAGGTTTTCAGAGAGTACAGTTCATACACATTCCATTGCATGAAATTCCATTACTTTTCAAAATGTTTTCCATGATGATAAAAATTTCCTGGACTATACAGCTGGGATCTACAAAGGCAGTATACAACACAAAACAAATGAAACTACACTTTCCAGGCATTTTTACAGTCATTTAAATTACAATTTAAAACAACATTCACTACAGAGTTCTTCATTTTTCTGAAACATAATGTTGTTAGAATTTTTCCAACAGACATAATAGGCTTGTGAAAAAAGACAGTTTACATTCCACCACAAACACACCAGAGGAAAGAAACAACATTTTAATTTATAATTTTAAAGTTGTATTCTGTATATAGTTTTAATTGGAAGTTAAATTAATTAATTATTTTTCAATTACACTTAATGTTTTGTTGTAACTGTATTTGTGAGATGCATAAAAATGATAGCAGAGAGGGGTGATAAGAGTTATTTGGCAAATAAGAGAATCAGATACATCAATATTATGACAAGACTTAAGCTCAACTGCGAAAACATAATTTCAACAATGTTAGGCAAAATCTGATTAATTTAGTTACAAACTGAAAGACAATTATTTATAAATAAAACTTTTGTACTTTTCTGAGCATTTACGACAAAGCAGCTGTTCCTTTTATAAATAATCAATTTTGCCCAAAAGTAATGTGCAAGAATTATTTTAGTTTGTCATAAGAATAAAGTGAATATCATAGGTTTATTAATTATAACAAAAAGAAAACATTTCAGCCAGAGTTTAAACTTTCATGACCAATTCTTTTTAAACCTAAATATGCCAAAAACTCATGTATATCACAACAACAATGTGCATTTAATATCTGATGTGGAAATGAAAATTATTCACATGTAGACCTAGGCCTATCACTAAACGTTACTATTAGTACTAATAGACATACCAGTCATTGTCTTACTTTCTTCCATTGGCCTAGTTACTGTCATGGATTTGGCATCAGATCCATGATTAGACTTAGAACTACATGTATTAAAGAACTCCATAGTTCTTGCTGTGATCTTAAATTTAAAAATGAATTCTTTATGTTTCTCGCCTTTTATGTGGCTCTTATGTGCTGCCTTGCTCACATTTTCAATGCCAAAGATCTTTAAACACAGCTTATAATGTGATGTACATTTGCTTAGGCCTCTCTCTAGCCATTAGCAATATTGCACGTCAGAGAACCAGTTCACATTCAAAATGTACAAGCCCACCATGATTTATTTATTTATGCAATGTTTAATGAACATTAAAGTTTCAACATGACATTCAAATTTTCAGTCATATTGAAGTTTGCATATGGTTAGCTTCGTTAGTACTGGCATGTTCTCATCTGTTATGCATAACTACATGCCAGTCACTTAAGTATAGATGGTGAATGCACACATGCTTATAATGTTGCAAATATTTTTTAACTTCAAAAATGTTCATGCTTTTATAAAAATAAATTGCTTGTTTTTTAATAATCTGAGCAGGCAGAAAAAAGAACCAAACTGCCTACAATTTAAGCATTTTCCATAGTTCCACGACCAGCAAATTTTTCCAAGACTTTCAAGGCCTGGAAATTTTGATTTTTAAATTCCAGCACTTTACACAACCTGTGTAAACTCTGAAAGAGTAAAAAAAACTAAGTCAATTTACTTTAATTACTTATGTACAACAAAATAATGTCCTTAGCTAAATATACCTCAATTATTTTTAAAATTATACAGCTTTTGTATTAAGCTTACCTCATTTTAATAAGATTTGAAAATTAATATTACAGCAATTTGTCAAGTAACAATTGTGTATTAAAGCACAAAACAAAGCTTTAACATTAACTTTGCTTCCATACCAGCAGGGTTTTAAAAGTGTTCATTTTCTTTCTTAATTAATTTCTTCTCTATTTAATACTCTTTAAGAGAACCATGTACTATTAAAAGCTAGAAGTTCTAAGTCCTAACCTTTCCTCCAGCAGTGACCTGTAAAGCTGTTGATGTTTTTGGATCCTTCACCTTAACCAAGTGACAAACTAAGCCATGAACCTGATGTCGGTTAAAATTCTTCTCTGGATCTTTGTATTCAAAAGTCAAATTAGGAAATCTGTAACAAGGACATGAGGATTAATGCAATTTCTAAACCACATTTACAGACATATATGAGGAACCCGAGCTAAACTTACTTTATACACAATACTGTTTTTTTTTTTAAGTTTGGAAATTTTAACATTATTAATAGTCAAGAATTATATTACACAAGTGTTTAGAAATGTGTTTACTGCTGCCTGGATCGGACAATTGAGTGAGTCTTGCAGTATTGCAAAACACCCCATCTCTCATTGTGCACTGGTAGAGCCAGGGTGGATGATCTGAATGATTTCTGTTATCCTGGCTCAATGCAGATTGGGGGAAATAAGCATGCCATGGGAGGCAACACCAGCCACCTGGAAAAATCCTAATAAATGTAGAGGAAAAACAAATGGTATTTACTCATCTCAAAGACAGTCAGTTGAAGAACTGTGCCTAGTGGACATCAAAACCCAACAGGAGGTAAAACAGCCTGATGGTGTAAGTAATGAGAGATGAACATGTGGGGAATCATCCACACATCCACTTGGAGGTTTTCATCCTAAGGCTGGCAAAAATTGGCAGCAAGAGAATGAGTCAGGTGAAGACTGTCATGTGAAGAAATGTGGAAAAGCCTGCAAGCATCCAAATGTTTCCTAAATGGAGAAGTTGGTGGAGCCACTCAGTGTGGGTAAAAGAAGAAAGGTTCCTGGAAGAAGAGGGATCCTTAGGTATAAACAGATGATGACAGAGATCATGAAAGGGAGAAGTGTGTGAAAAGTAACATCAAACAGCCTGACTAGGACAAAATAGCCAATCCAGGTCTGAAAGATCGTAGAGATGAGAGACAGAAGGAAGGGATACAGGAGAGAAAGTAAAGTCACGTTCCTGAGCAGCAGAAGCCTTAGGAAGGAAAGAACAGTCTAAGTTGAGTAGAATATAAAAGTGTGGAAGAGAGCACGAGAAGAATCAACTGCACAGATGTCTATACAATGGTGACCAAAAGCAAGAAGGAGAAGCAAATAAGTCTTAGGAGAAAAGTAGTAAAAAAGAAAGAAGCCAACAGGTCAAGAGTAAGAGTATGAAAAATCAATTATGATCCTAGCCCGACATGGGAGCCTGCCAAGAAGGTTGGTGAAGAAGGAAGAAGTGGAAGAGAGTGTAGAGTACAGGGGTAGAAAACACCTTGTGGTACCGGGAAAAACAAAACATAGTGCATAATTCCACCAGATAACCAACAATGGTAGAGACCAACAAATCATGGTCAAACAACCAAGTGAAAAGGGCAGAAATATGATCAGCAGTGAGATAGCCAAGGAGGAAAGGAGTGGTGGATGGACCAACATTGATAGATAAAGTGGATAGATGACAGTAATGTGACAAGTAAAAGGCTACAGGATCAGATAGTCCAGCTCAATGGCAGTGGACCAGAAAAAGCCCACACGTGATAATGAAGGGATGATATCCCTTAATGAAACAAAGATGTGCAAGGTTGAAGCAACAGAGAAAACCAAAGTTGAGCTGGCCAGAGAGGCATCACCAATAGGGCCCTACATAAAGTGTCACTTATCAAGGCAAGAACCCAGGGAAGGATATGAAGAGAGGAATATACATATACAAAAAGATGAGACCAGTCCTGGCTGAGAGCATTGACAACCAGAGCCAAAGGATGTGGAACCGCAGACCGGAAGAGAAGAAATTTAGAATGGAGAGGGTTGGCAAAGGCATCTATGATTGACATGGCCAACCAAGAGCAAACCCAACAAAAGACCCGAGAGTGTAGAGACCACTCTGTTGGTAGAATGTGGTGTGGCCAAAAGAGGTGGTCTGCCACCATGTTCATGGCTCCTGGTACATGATAGGCAATGTGACAAACCCAATGTGAATATACCTAAAAGAGAAGGTCCAACACACAAAAGCAAAGGATCCTTCATGAGTGATGTAAGAAATGACTAGTGAATTGTCAAAGTGGATTATGACCAAGTGAACCATCCGTAAGGGCAGCAAATAAAAACATGCCTGATGAACAGAGAGAGAAGTTTGAATACCTTAATATGGAGTGAATGCTCATTCTGTGTTCAAACACCAGAAGTCATATGTTATTCAGAGAGGAAATTATCTGTGAAGAGATGGATATGTGCTCTGGGGGGTAGTAAGGAAACTCTGGAAGTAGTATTTGGACAGTCCAGCCACCATGACAGTTTCTTGAGAAGATGAGAGGAAAGGTTCACAATTAAGGACAATAAATCCTGAGAAGGAATACAGTGGTCCAAATGAACAGTCTCTTGAAAAAGAAGTACGAGAATAGAATATCACATTGAAATGGGCTGAGAGAAGCCAATGATCCATGTAGAAATGGAATCTCAGTCCCAGGCTATGAAGATGGCAAGCAAAGGTCCTTATAGCTCGATTGAAGACATAAGAAGCCAACACTGTGCTGAAGGGAAGAGCATGGAACTGGAACACATGATTCTGATGGACAAATCAGAGATAATGTCGAGGATGGGTCAATTGGGATGTGGATTAAAGCATCTGAAACATCGACCTTGGTCATTCACTGCTTAGGTGAAAAGGGAAACAGGAGAGAAAAGACATTCTCCATCTAGAAATGTGGAATGACCATAAAACAATCAAGATATGAAAGGTCAATTATTCGATGCGAGTCCCCAGTCTTCTTAGGACCATGTAGAGATGAGAGTAAAAACCTGGAGAAGGGTCATGTACACTCTTGATGGCATGCTTGGCTAAAAGGTCCAATACTGCCTCCTAAACACACTGAAGATGGACAGGATCAGAGGGAGGAGAAAAAGAAATGGGAAAAGAAAAGAGTGGGTGAAAAAACCACCTGTGGGTGAGGACTTCAAGAACTCATCTGTTTGTAAAAAAGTGTGACCAAAGGTCAGCAAACCGAAAGAAACAGGTGCCCACATGTTCTAAATTGGCAGGATAATAGTCACCAACAAAAGATGTGATGGACCTAATGGTGGGCAGTGAGGGACAGGAAGAGAAGGAAGGTCTGGAAAGTGGAACACAAAAGGTGAGAGGTAGACTGATCCAGTCAAGGAACAGAAGTTTAAGGGTGAGGTTGTAAGAGGTGAGGAACCAGAGAAAATAATGAGGACTGGTGTTGGGCCACCAAAGACTTCAGGGCAAAGAAAGGGTGCCTGATGAAGATCACACAGATAGGAAGTTGGTAGGCATATGTTAGTAGGGAGTGTATCACTAACTAATGAGTCCTAATAGCAGAGGAACTAATTAAGCAGGGTTAGGGCAGAAGAAGTGGTAGGGGTCATAGTGATAAATAGAAGGGAACCAAATTCCCCTGAAACTCATCTGAAGTATGATGAAGTTCTACAGACAAAAGGTTCAGGGAGGAGAAGTAACAAAGAAGTGTGGTGAGAAAAAGATGAAGATGTGACAATTGAGCAATGGAAAACAAAAGAGGAGACAGGGAGTCTGCTCTCCAAGCAGGTAATAGAGATTCCAAAGATTGAGAGTCAAGAACTGCATGAGAAGAATGACTATAAGCTAGGAAACGAGAATCATAAAGGCAAGGAAGAAAAGGCATATGGCGACAGCTACGAAGTTGTTCAAGGAAGGAGTCAGCATGAACCTGAATGCCAGGTGAAGGAGGAAAGACTAAATATTTGTGAGGATTGGGCTCATGGACCAAAGAACATGAAGAAACATAAGACATAAGAGAAAGAAAGGAACATACCAGAAAGATCAAGTCCTGAAACTATGTTGAAGGCCGAGAACTTTCCTTAACTGAAAGGAAGGTGCCCAATACGAGGGAACAAATGAGCATATTCATCTTCCTCTTGTTCAACTCAAAATGAAGGGAAAGAACATTGGAAGAATAGATGGGAACAGAAGGCCTAGCATGTATGACCTCACAACATGTTGCACAATGGCCATGGCATTCTCTATCAGTGATTCCCCCCAACACCACAATAGAGAATGTAATAAAAAAAATAAGGATAACTTAGGGATGGCAATGCCAAAAAGTAAAGAAAAAGGTAGGGATAAATACACAAAACCATATAAAAATCCCTACATAAGTAGCCAAATTTTTCCAAGAAAAACTATCTACAATTAAATGTTGAATTCCTTTTATTTGCATGTATTCAGGTTTGAATAAAAGCATTTAAACTGAACAATACTATACATTCTTACATTGGCTAATTCCTATGAGCTTGTAACATAGACTCGGTGGCTATTTATGTAGGGACTTAAGTATGGTTTTGTGTATTCATCACTACCTTGTTTCTATACTCTTTGGCATTGCAATCTAGGCCTACATCATCCTAGGGTTTTTCAAAAATTTTTTATTACTTGTTTCCCCTCTTTTTTCAATGAATGGTAGTCACTATGAAGGTAGCAGTTTTAGCCTGGTGTGATGTGTTGAAGTTAGTGAAACACTATACTGCTTCTGCACTCCCAAAATTAAAATTCAACATTTTGGTGTGTAAATCATCACAACAACTTCAAGAATTGGTGAGCTAGTCTTTCTGATGACGCCAGAATCAGAATAATCAGCAGAACATTTGGTTGTTAAGCTACTCACCAGTTCTCTACTTTAGCAATGTTTTTTCACTAACATGAAGGTCTTAATAGCTTTAGAAAACCTTGAAACCAAGTTAGGTGTTTATAAAAGTCTCTTAGATTGTTATAAGGGACTTGAGACTATGATAAGCAATACATGAAGTGGACATTTCTTCCCTACCCATCCCTACATACTAAGCAATACCAGACTTAGTGACAGGGCCCATGCATGTAATATCATCAATTATACAGGACAAAGTTGAAGTCACCGTCACTTTAGAATTCATTATGATAAAGTAAAGCTGTGAAGACAAAAGTCAAAGTATAAAAAAAAAAGTTCTGTTAATAAATGCAAGTCTCATCAAATTGAAGCCAAATAAAATTTGAACATGTCTGTTCAATACAGTGCTGAGGAAAAGAATGTCATTATCACAAGTGCAAGTACACATGAGGAGTTACTGCACATGGAGGTTGCATCACAATCCTACTGGTGGGGGGGTTTTTGTCACATGATGAAGTCACTATGCATCAGTACAGTTCACGTTAAACATACGAGTTTAGGTGGAAGTTATTTCAAGGCTAGAGGCATGCAAATTTCATACACAAATGAACAGGGAAGATAATACTTGTGTGTGCAGAGTCGGGCTATCATCTCGGAGGCATAATTTTGTAAAATAAACGTTTCTGAATTGCAACAAGTTAGGAAACAAACTATGGTGTTCAAATGTGATTAAAAATATGAATGAGGTTAAAAATAATTGCCTTTCAATTGAAAAAAAAGAAGTAAAACACAAGCTACAATTTGACAAGTTGTAAATTTACAAGACAATAGAGATGGCTGATTTGTGGAATTTGTTAACTGATTAATTGTCAAGCCCATTAATGCATTATTCACACATGAGAGAGATAAAGTAAAAACACTTATAATACAGTGCACAAACAGCCCATTAACATAACAGCTATATAACTGGAATAGTAATAATTGGAAAGACTAATTTCCATTAGTTGATTATTTTTATGAGTCTCATGACATTAATTTATTAAGCTAAACAAATCTGAATTAATCAAAAATAATAATGAAAATTCACAATGGCAATATTTCTAATTACTGGATAGATGGAATAATCACAAACAGTAATAATTGGAAAGACTACTTTTGATTAGCTGATTATTTTTGACATTAATCATAATTTCAGTTATTCAAATATTTTACCTGACACTAACTGATGTAATCAATTTTATTAATTAATTGTTCAGCTCTGTTAGACATATCTATCCATTCAAGTGATATAAAACCAAAAAGACACTTACTTTGCCTCAAGATTTTCTACTTTTTCCTTCAAGTTGTCTACATCTTTAGCCACCAGGCGTTTCTCTGCCAGCAAATTCTCTTCTTTACCATCTTCATATTCTAGTGTATCCATTTCCACCTAAAAAATTAATTAATATGCGTGATAGTTTAAAACCTGGTGCTTCAGCAACCTACAAGTAACCATGAGACCAATATGTACCAGATTAATATGGTCGTGTATTCTAAATTAGCAATGTGTGTGCAGGAAAGCAGTTTTTGATGTCAAGTGCCTAAGCCGAATTAAATATCACCCCTGTCAAAAACCTGAATACAGAAGGCCCCCAATAACTATCCCATATTATGGAATGATTTAATGTTATTTATTAAGAAGGATCCAATAACAATAACATGCACTATAGTAACTACTTATTAACCCTCTCTCTATGGGCATCTTTCTCTGTGCATGTCACAAAGTTTTAGTGAGTTACATTCAAAATTTAATTCAACTACTTTCTTTTCAGGATATATCAATAATGATAGCATAAAAACATAGCTAATAATCTATACTTTAATACTATGCAAGTTTCAAGTTCTTAATTTTTATAAGGCAATAGTATGAGAATTGTGACATTTTCTCTTTAGGCATCCCCTCTTCTGTAATTATTCTACCACCCCTCCAAGAAGTATGACGTTTAACATAAATTACTCATTATAATGTTGTTATTACTCAGGCAAAGCATAATTTTTATATCTTTCAATCTTATTTGGTTACAGAGCCATAAACTAGAAAATCAGACCCCCTTTATCATGACCACCTGTCACAACCTCTCTTTCAGTAATTGCCAATAGTTCTCCCTGACACTCAATACCATATTATTTATAACGAAGGTTTTACTCTATCAAATGATATATTATATTACATTATTTTTTTGTACAGAGAATTGTCAGTTTTACTTTAAGTTCAAGCTTTATTCGCATGGAAAACATATTCATGAGTTTAGATAAATTCATAACAGCTCTTGTCACATAGCTAGAAAGCCAGAAAAATTGTGATAGTTATGGGACATTATCAGTTTTTTGCATGTTATTATTCTTTGTTCTTTGGTGCATAATTAAACTAAATAAAGATTATTTAGTGCACTACTACCATTAGTATAAAAAAGTAGGATTAAGTGTCATCAACAGTTAACAGCACAAAGAAAAAGACAAAAAGAAGACATGGGAAAGTATTTTTCTCTTGTTTTTCATGTGTAAACTTTATTTATTATAAAAGTAACTAAAATGTAAAAAAATAGGAAACTTTATAGGTTAGTTAAGGTAAAATAAATAATAATAACAATAATTTTTCATGAGTAGTTTGTGTGTAATGTAATTTGATAGTGCAATGTGAGTTGCACATCCACCTAGTGATTTACAACTTACAATGGCATGACAAGGTTAGGCAAGGTTCAAAGAGCAATAAAACAATAAAATTTAAGTATAAATAGATGTACTCTGTTACAAGTTTAAAGTTATTTAGTATAAAAAAAATTTAGTTTCATGTTACAATTTGAAGTCATTCTAGAAAGAAAAAAAAGGGTAATTTAGATTCATTTCAACTTCTTTTTGGTGGTTACGAGGCTGGTCAAATTCACCAATCTTGTATAGACTCACAATAGAGTAAAGTGTAGAGAAACTAACAGATAAAATATAAAATTTTACTGAGTTTTTGAAACAAAGAAAAGTATTTTTGACCTTAATGTGGAAATCACTTTGCACTTGGACTAGTAAAATAATAAAACTATATATATATATATATATATATATATTCACGGGCAAATATTTAGCAAAAATACTTATTTAAAAAATCACATTTTTTGTGTGCAATAGACTTGTAATATTTACTAGAAGTCTACTAAATTTTGTGAAGATACACATACTGTGTTTCAAGTTATAGTATGGAGACTATAATGAGTACAAAATGGCTACAAGGTCCATCAATCATCTGACCTCATTGTGTTTGTAAAGCTGTTAGTATAGCTTATAACTAACAGCTTACATTTAAGGATTGATCACTGAATTTCTTCAACTTCTTTATTATAAAAAAAATTCAGTAGATAGGATGCAAACAAACTTGTAAAACTTACAGAACTGAAGTTTTTCCAACATTAATACATTATTCTTGCAGTATATCAGCAACTTGCATTGAAGTAATAAGCTGTACAACAAAGTTAGTATTACAACAGGATATTTAGAAAGATATTTTTAATTAAACAAGTGAAAGTAAAAATAATCATAAATCTGTAGAAATAAATCTTCAGAAAAACTACAGGAAAGATCTCATTAAAACAGTTACACTAATACACATGTGGTATTTAAAATGCTTGTTTTATTTTTCTTTGTAATACACACCTTTATCTTATTCAGTTCTTTTTCCAGAGCTTGGTAGGATCCTTGATCTTTCTGGTATTCTTTCTCAGTCTTTTTACAATCTGTTTGTTTCTTCTTGATCTCTCCTTCTGCATGCTTCAGTTTCATTTCTGCTTGTTTAGTTTCTGTGTCAGCATTGGCAATGTCATTTTTTGCAGCTAAAAAACATTCATCAGTGAGAAAAATAAATAACAAATACCAGTGACAAAAAAAGATTCAGAATTACCAAATACTTAAACACTTCAACCAAACTATGAAATAATAAAGAGAATAACGTGCTTTATAAATGTAATTCTTGATTTAAAGTTCATCAACAATAAAACTTATTTCTTATCCGTTTAGTCTAGTCACAGACAGCTGTATTATAATTTCTTTCCACTACCTTAACATAAACTCATAAGCTAATATCAGCACTGCAGCGAATGTATTATTTTTGATCATTATTACAGGTTAGTAAAAAAATGTGTGTATAAAAAATAAAAGAGCTTGACACAACTGCATATGCTATTTCCAAATAAACAATGAATTAATTTTTTGAAATATACACACACACACACACACATATAAATCTAGGTACCTGTGTTATTTAAATATGGACAGGTTTACCAAAGCATTAAAGTGATACACTTGAGTTATGAAAATTTGAATTACTTTCTATGTGAATAAGGTATTGATTTTGTGGATATATATATATATACATTTTCAATTTAATCTTGTAGTGCTATTTTGTTGTGTGTGTATGTATTATGTATGTGTGTGTGTCTATATATATACACACTCACACATACATACACAACTAATGATAACTAACCATGAAGCCAATTATGGGACCTATTTAAAGACATTTTGAATTTAAGAGTACAAGTACTATTGCAACCTTCCATAAAACTTATCAAGGCCCTATGTTAGAATACTTTACTCAATTTTGAAGAAAGATGTTGAAGTGGCAGAAAGGGTGAAGGTGAATGAAAAATGACTGATTTAAGATAAACTGTTTACTGAATGTATATTCGAGTGTTAAAATCACAAGATTAAAAATGCTAACTGAAGGCTTTTTTTTGTTGGCAGAATTATTAGTCTTCTGTTTTACTTTTTAATATGGAATTCTTGATGATTTTTTGTGTCCTGTTGTAAACTGTGTTAAAATTCATAGATGAATAGATACAATGGGCTACACTAAATTTGAGATGGGTACTTTAGTTTTTGTTTTGATGAGTAAAGGAGTGAACTCAGTGAATAAAATAACTTCAGACGTATTGTCACACGACCCACGACTTATGAAAATTCTCTACTTTGGCATTTCCTATCTTCAATAATATAATGCTAGTTGTGTAGATGTACATCTAGACAATAAGACATTTACATAACCTACTGAGAGTACATTTGGAAGTTTACTGGATGAATGCAGTTGAAACAGTAATAAATTTTGTCAACTTCCGAGTGGTGCCATCCCCACATTCAATAGATTTGTTTGAGCTATATAGCCTACATGTAAAGGTTACATACACATGTATATAGTCATTAGAGAGAGCTCATTTGACACTATAATCCAACAACAGTCATTTTGAAATTGGCACACAGTTTTCACCACGGGGTACATGTAACTGCCTGTAGTATTGTTGGCTGCTTGATCGACAATAGCACTGTGTATTTAGGTCTAACTTTTATATTTTAGTTAATTGTATCATTTATGTTTTAAAATGCATAACTGAAAAGTTGAAATATTTTTTCAATATACATAATGTTTGTGTCAGTTCTCAAGACTAAACACAAAGTAAGTGGTGCCCGAACATTTTGCCGTAGAGTTGCACAGATGGCACCATTGACTTGTATCGAGATGAATAATAAATGGTAAAGGACAAGAAACAAAAATAAAACATTAAAAATTAACTATACATGAAAAGGAAAAGACCTAAAACTATGAACATAACCAAAAGGTGTTTAAAGACATTCTACAAAAAATTAAAAAATATGTACTTTTTCCTATTTCCTAATTTTAATAATTTCATTGCATTGTATGTTGATGATAATAGTTAGATTTTGTGATATGGTAGAGAAAATGAGAAATAAAATATAAACATTTACATGGAAAAAATTTTTGATATTCATTTATGTTTGTTTGTTTTGAATTTCTCGCAAAGCTACACAAGGGCTATTTGTACTAGCCGTCCCTAATTTAGCAGGAAGACTAGAAGGAAGGCAGCTAGTCATTACTCACCGCCAACTCTTGGGCTACTCTTTTACCAATGAATAGTGGGATTGACCATCACATTATAATGCCTCCACGGCTGAAAGGGTGAGCATATTTGGTGTGATGGGGGATTCGAACCCGTGACCAGCAGATTGCGAGTCGAGCGCCCTAACCACCTGGCCATGCCAGGCCATTCATTTATGAGGTTCTAGAGGTCATGTAAATGAAATATGAAAACTATAAGATGAAGAAAAGTATTTTTATACTTAAAATGAAAAATCACCATGCATTCAAACTTTTTAGAATTTGAGTGTAAATAACATTTTATTAGAAAGACGTAATTAAAATAATGTTATTTTTGTGTACAAGATACTTATCTTTAACAAAATATTACCAGATTTTATGAGGATATCTCAGTTACCATATATATATTGTTACATAAATATCCTTCCCGAGGTGACATGAAATATGTCACCCCATCGCAAAAAGGGTTAAATACATATAACATTGGTCAACATTTATAACTTCAAAATGTATTTGACTGCAAGCAAATGTGAATTTCTAGAAAATTTTATTGTAATATTCAGTATACCTGCAAAGTGAGTGGGTGAAAAATATAACCATATTAATAAATATGATTTAATTAAACAAAATATTAAGTGTGACACTATTATTTTTAAAAGTTCATTTTTTCATTCATTTTAAATATATGAAATTCAATGAATGAGAAGTAACTAATATTGCAATATATTAAACCTCTAACAGTTGAATTAACTTCTCTAACGTTTCTCTAACGTAATACACTCATCAGGTGGCATAATGGTATTGACAAGCAAAGTAGCTAGCACTAGATCATATGACCAGTAATACATTCATCAGGTGGCATAATGGTATTGACAAGCAAAGTAGCTAGCACTAGATCATATGACCAGTAATACACTCATCAGGTGGCATAATGGTATTGACAAGCAAAGTAGTTAGCACTAGATCATATGTCCAGTAATACACTCATCAGGTGGCGTAATGGTATTGACAAGCAAAGTAGCTAGCACTAGATCATATGACCAGTAATACACTCATCAGGTGGCGTAATGGTATTGACAAGCAAAGTAGCTAGCACTAGATCATATGTCCAGTAATACACTCATCAGGTGGCATAATGGTATTGACAAGCAAAGTAGCTAGCACTAGATCATATGACCAGTAATACACTCATCAGGTGGCGTAATGGTATTGACAAGCAAAGTAGCTAGCACTAGATCATATGACCAGTAATACACTCATCAGGTGGTGTAATGGTATTGACAAGCAAAGTAGCTAGGACTAGATCATATGACCAGTAATACACTCATCAGGTGGCATAATGGTATTGACAAACAAAGTAGCTAGGACTAGATCATATGACCAGTAATACACTCATCAGGTGGCATAATGGTATTGACAAGCAAAGTAGCTAGGACTAGATCATATGACCAGTAATACACTCTCAATGGTTTTTTTCATGATGAAAAGAATTTCAAGAAATTTTCTCAATTCAGATGCATCAGATGCAGACCACCAGCACATTCTGCTTTTAGGCTTTAAGCAGTTCAATTCCAAAAACTGTTCAGCAAACCTATTCATTTCAGTGACCATCATATTCACAACATCCTCTGGCACAAATAGTTTTTAAATGTCAACAGCAAACCACTTGATATTGCTTTGTAAAAGAAATATCAGTTAGACTAACATATGTAGGTTGGACAGTCTGCCATCCGTCAACTCATGCTGGCATTCCAGTGTCACCATCTAGATCAGCAGTGTCAGCTACGGACGAATCAGCTTGAACGTTAACATGGTATGTACAATCCAGGCCTCTTTCATCATCAGACTCAAAATCAGTAGGCTCATAACTACTATTTCTGTCTGCATCATCCTCCTCAAATGACTCTGGATCAAATTCTTGTAAAATACTCCCACCTTCACTCAGACTAAAACGTTTGCACAACCCTGCCAACTTGTAGCTATAATGGTAACCAAAACAAACCACTGAAGAAATATCAAGTCACGGGAATTGAAACTTTTGTGAATTTTTTCTGTCAATCACACAGTCCTTGTACAGCACTAAGGGACTGTTCATCTGTGCACTTGCACATAGTTATAGTCTCTGCTGATTAACATGTTATTGCACCAGTAGAACCTCACTAAGAAATGACTGAAGCTTTAACATGTCACTTGCACATAGTTGTAGTCTCTGCTGATTAACGTGTTAATGCACCAGTAGAACCTCACTAAGAAATGACTGAAGCTTTAACATGTCACTTGCACATAGTTATAGTCTCTGCTGATTAACGTGTTAATGCAAAAATATAACCTCACTAAGAAATGACTGAAACTTTAACATGTCATTGGCAGAGAATGTGTTAAGGCTCTTTCTTTTATTGCAGTGTGAAATGTAATGTATCATGTGACCTTTAGCCTCTTCTATTATGGGGAAATACTGCATAACTACAAATGCATTCACTATGTTCAGGGATGAAAATGACCAGGATCAGAAAGAGCTAGAAATCTTTAGGCTATTTGGAGTTTTTTTTTAAATAACACACAAACAAATTATATCAATGAAAGGTAAGTATTAGATAAAAACATTAAAATGGAATGCTAGAACATCAATTCGCTAATAAGGTTGCAAATTCAATGCCTGGTGAAAGTATCATATTGTTTCTGTGATTTAAATGAAAGCTTTAGCAATACACGAATCATTATATAAATTCATACAGATCACATAATGTGAAAATTCCTAGCATATAGTAAAAACATGTTACTATGTTATTAGATCTTTGTTGTAGTACTCATGCTATTTTTTTTTTTTTTGTCGTCAATGAGCTCCCCAAACACATGTGCAAAAAAATGTGTCTTGTAGTTGCATTTAAATACTTAAGTACTGTTTGTTGACATACAAAGAAAGGGATTTTGTCATTTTGCAGAGATAAAAACTTTCTGATAGCTGTCAAAATGAAGTCATCCTGAAACATATATTGGTCAGGACATAACACTTTTTCACGTACCCTATGGTACACCAGGGTAGTGATTCATTTGTTTGTAAGTTTTTAGACAAAAGAAGTAAAAAAATGCCCGATGTTTACTAATTTCATTGCAATTTAACTCAAACAGCATCTTATATATTGCTTACTCATTTTGAGAAATGCCAACCTCATATTTTGAACTGTTCACACACACACCTACATACTGATCATGGATGTTCATTAGCACTATAAATATAAATCTGTACTAGATCCAAGTCAATAATAATTTATGTGGCTCAAGAGAAAAAATCTAATCAAAATTTAAAATTGACTTGTAATTTATAGAACTACTGTTTTTATCAAAATTATGTTGATTGCTTTTTAAATGATTTAGAAAAATAATACTTCAGTCAATAATTTAAAATAAAATTCTATCAACTTGATTCCCTATCACTTACACAAGTAATTTTCATTGATATATCTGTTTCTTAATATTTAGTTTTATTTTCTAATTTGAATAAAAAATAAATACTATGTGAATTTTAAATGTACCAGTTGTAGAACTTGTCACACAGTTGGTGTTAGCAAAATTCTCAAATTTAAATTACGAAATAAGCAACATTGTGTCATCTTAAATTTTTATTTTCAGGCTTACTCGAAAACCAATAAAAAATAAAGTAAAATATAAAAATTAAAAAACACAAAAGCAAAAGTTATGTTGTTGACCACTTAGACAATGGAAAATATCCTCAACATTAGTATGCACTTTAAACAACACTAAGACTGTACAGGGTATCCCAAAAATCTGGACCTAAAGGGAAAAAACACAATTTATTCTTAACTTATTATTTAAACTGCATGGCATTGACAGCCATACGCGTATCAATTCTTTGTATACTGTGCCATCAGGGTATTTTCTTTCCTGAAATATGTACAACTGACATTAGAAATATGTTAGTTTAACTTTAAGAATATAATGTCTATTTTTCCTAAGGTTTCAGACTTCTGGGACACCTTGTATATATCAAAATTAATTTTTATGCATATTTAATGTTGTAACTTGTGCCTGTCTGCAGCAGTGGTTGAAACTTGTTTCAGTTTGCTCTTTCCCATGTAGTTCTTATCTTTAAAGTTTCAACTCTCTGATATGTAATACAATATTATTTAATATAACCAACAGAAAGCCAAGGTTTCAATCTATCAAATGAGATATTACATTACATTGTTTTCTGTACAGAGAATTATCTGTTGTGCTTCCAGGTCAAACGTTATTCCTACTGGAAACACATCAACGAGCTTAGCTCATGGCTCTTTATTGCATAGTTAGAAATACACAAAAATTGTGAGTTATGGGACATTATCAGTTTTTTGCATGTTATTATTCTGTGTTCTTTTGTGCATTATTTAATTAAATAAAGAATTACTTAGTGCAGTTGTACCATTAGTATAAAAAAGTAGGTTAAGTGTCATCAACAGTTGACAGCAAAAAAAAAGACGACGACAACCCAGGTAGGTACTCTATTTCTTGTTTTTCATGTGTATTTTTTACTTATTATTATAAAAGTAACTAAAATAGAAAAATTAGAAACCTTTTAGGTTAGATTAGGTAAAATAAAGAATAATAATTATAAAATTTGATCAGGAATTATGGTTGTGAGCAACTCATGAGTGTTCATGTGTTATGTAGTTCAATAGCATAATGTGAGCTGCATGTTCTTCAAATGATTTACAAATGTTATGCTGGGAACATGGTTCAAAGAGCAATAACACAATAAAATTTAAGTATAAACAGATGCATATTGTTACTAGTTTAAAGCTATTTATAATATGCAAATATAGTTCCATGTTATGATTTGAAGTCATTTTAGAAAGAAAAAAAAATGTAGATTTTTTTCTAATTTTTTTTATGGTTACAAGGTCAGTCAAATTGACCAATCTTGTAAAGAAAACGGCAGATAAAATAAAAAGTTTTACTGAAACAAACATTTGAAATTTATTTAGGAAGTTTTAGAGATTATACAAATCAAATTTGAGATTTTTCGGGTGAAGGAAAGCATGTTTAATCTTAACATGAAAATCACTTTGCACTTGCAGCAGTCAATATTTTGACTTCATATATTCATGGGAAATTTTTTAGTGAAAATACTTCATTAAAAATTCTAATTTTTTGTCTACAAATGACTTTTTATAACTACTGAAAACTTGCAAAATTTCATGAAGAAACACAAAACATATTAGAAGTATGGAAACTATAAAGGTTAATTTGTGGTCACGAACTTGGTCAATTCACCCGAGCCTATAGTGAGAGAGTTAAATTTTGCTCTCCTTTAAAAAGTTAACTAAAAAATATATATACTTACTGACAACCAGTCACACTCACACTAGAAACATACTGAGCTTAAAGAACAGTCCTTCCCTCCACTACAAAGATACTGAGTATAAAAAACTTCAATTAACACCCCTTTCCCTACTACTAAACATAATGGTGATGAAAAACATCTCTAAACACACAAAGTGAAGATTCTGATGCTACCTGGAAACTCAACATAATTTATAAAATTTTTATAAGAACATGCCTCAGAAAGTTTTATAAGTATTCTGGATAGAACAAACAAAAATAATTATATAACTATAGTTAGTTGTATAGCTATGCTTTGAACCCATCCTCCAAATCCAACAACCATTAAATGCACCTTGGTTGACTAGCCAGTATAGATGGGTGATTAATTGATTTAATGTCGTTGTAAAATCACTGATTATCCAAAATTATGATTAAATAATCAATTAATGTCAAGAAAATAAACAACTAAACAAAATTATCTGTATCTGATTATTGCTGTTTCCCAGTGATTGTCATGTAATTCAAGAGTCATAGAATCAATTCCCATGACTACCAAACCTACTTGCCCTTTCAGCCGAGAAGGAACTTATCAGATAAATTACAAATGTAAATATTTTAATAAATTTTCAATAAACATTAACAAAATCAAAAGATTAATATGTCCTAAAAATTTGGCATACTCCTTGATCAATTATATAAAAACAGACATTAACATTTTTCTAACCTGAAAATGTATTTCCGATAGATACTTGCCTCCTGTCCCAAAATAGTATATTCTAAATTAGTACTATGCCTTTTACCTCCCACTTCTGCATATCTACATGTAAGTGACTATGAAGCAGCTCTCCACAAATAGGGCCCTCTGAGAACCATATCCAGAGGATGGTAGGGAGGAGGAATGTGACATGGCAGAGTGTTTCAATGAAAACCAGGTGGTATCTGGTATTGTGCATCAGGTCCATGGTAGGAAGGGCATCACACCATCAACACATGATTCTAAACGTGACAGGGCCATCTCCAACCAACATCAGACCCAACAGGAATGTACATCCAGAGGATGGTAGGAAGGAGGAATGTCAGAGAGAGAAAAAGTAATCTATCAGATATTTATAGATTAATACGGTGTAGTGCTAGAAACAAAACTTGACAGCATCTGGAATTGGACATCGGATCTGCAGTAGGGAGTGCTATATGCCACTGACACCCACAGAATGCTACCACCCGAACTCTCAACTGAATGATATGATGGTCCACCCCAGCAGATACGAACTTGTAAGTGGCAAGGACTCCCATACTCCACTAGAAGAAAGGACGGAAAAATGCACTGAAGAGTCCAGAGGACCACATCACCTGAGACGGTGCAACAGGTGACCAAATTACTCTATATTGAAAAGCAGGACTACCACACTGATGGAGGCAACCAACCAACACCCGGTAGAATCTGGAATTGTACATCAGGTATGCAGTAGGAAAAGCTTCAAGATGGGCAGCAATCCCTGTTTGTTTTACACTATTAATTGTATCTTCGTCACGTTACAGGTTTTGTACTATGTTGCATATACATTACCTTTTTCGTTACAACAGTTTAGGATTGCAAAAGAACAATCCTAAATTCTTGTACCTGAAGATAATTATCATATTAAATGAAGAATATTTCAAAACTATCTTAAAAAACCCAAAACAACCTAAGAATAGGAAGATTAGTCTCAGGTGAGAATAATCAATTAGTTGAATGTATTTGATTATTAAGCCAGACAATTAATCAATTAGCAGATTCAACTAATTGCCCAGCACTACTAGCTACCAAAACATAATACAGCTATTTAATGCACAATTTCAATAATGTAGTATTTTTTATGATTGGGGATACACACAGAGTTCATTCAAACAGTTTGTAAGCTTTAAGTTAGTTAGGCCTATAAATAATTAAACTTGATTTACCATAACAGTAGACCAGTACTAATCAATTAGGTTAACACATATTTCATGTAATACACAATCATGCACAGATATACATGTATATATAGACACAACAAAATAGCACTGCAAGATGAAATTGAAAACATACTCATCAACTGGTCAGCTAAAGTTGCCTCTTCACCATCTTCATTACTAGAAAGACCAGCACTCACAGCTTGGAAATGCTTCTGGGCTGCAGTCAAAGCTTCACTGTCAACTTTGCTATCCTGTTGCAGTTTCTCTAACTGGCATACCAGTTTTTGAAGTTGTTTTTCTTTGCTTACAGTTGTTGCAGCATCCTGCAAGATTTTATTACTTAAACATAGACATTGTGTCATCATCAAAACTATAAAAAATAGTTTATATTAGCTTTGTTTTCAAATAGTTTTAATGAAAATGTTGTACATAATCTTCCTCGTATATACATTATATTAAATGTTCATTTTATAATATGATTTTTCTGTCAGAATTATTATACTCATTTTTTTCCACATAAAGCATAAAAGTTGCCCCCTGTACTTCATCATTTCAAGAAAAATGTAACTTGTAACCTTAATAATATCAGATATACTCCAAACGTTATTACTAAATGAACAAAAAACTAATTTATATACAAAAATTGTAGCACAACTTTAGAAAATCACCTCATCGAGGTTTTTCTGCAGATCTTTTTTTTTCTTGTTTTCTTCCTTCAGACAGTCTTTCTTGTACTGAAGATCACTGTTAGATTTTGCCTCAGACATCTGCTTTTCTTTAAGTGCTTCTTCCAACTTCAAAAGTTTTCCTCCGGCTTCCTGAAAATTATAGAAATATTCAAATAAATTTTTGAAAACTCACAATTTAAAAAGTGTTAATATACTTCATTCCATCCACTATTTTAATGGGATTAAGTGTAAATAATTCAGAAAGTTCAGCAAAAGATAGAGACAGAAACCACTAACACAAACTAACAAACATAAGAGCATTTCACCTCATCTTTTTGCTTTTCCAATTCATTAATATGTTGATCTAATTCTTTAACATTCTTTTCTACTTGTACAATATGATTCTGGTGAGATGTGATATTTTCTTTCATCTCCTTCAGAGTCTCTGCTGATTTTTGACACAGTTCCTGTTAAATAAATACAAAAAAAAATCTCCAATATGTATTCATATCAAAAGTCCATAAAAATCTTCATGAGTTACACTGACTACTTCCTTGATTGTACAACAATCGTTTCATTTCTACAGTTTTTCAGTGTCAAAATATGTTATTCAAAATATTAGTATGATTAGTCTGAAATAAGGCATCACTTTTTATTATTTTAATTAATATTAACATATTAAATCAATACTTTTTCTAGGGTTTAAATTACTATATAACTAGGGAAATCAAACACAGTATCATCATAATTAGGAAAAAACAATACATAAAAAACAATAATTCCTTGAGAAATTAATATGTTACACCTTCTAATACTGGTGAGTGGATTCCATCAAGCCCATATTCCCGAAAGTAACCATAAAGCAGTTATACTGTTATATAGTTATGGTAGTTTTATAATAGTTATACTTTTTAAAATGTACTCGTATCTTCATGAAATTTTGCAGATTATCAGTAAAAGTATCAGATTTAAATTAAGTTTTAACATTTTATAATTAATTTTTGTTCATGTATTTTTATTTTTCAATATTGACTATCTAATATGCGAAGTAATTTTGATCTTAAGATTAAAAATACTTTTATGCATCAGAAAATTTTCAAATCACATGCCAAATCTTCATAACCTCCTAATATATCCTCCAGATAAATATCAAACGTTTTTTTTTAGAAAAACAAAACAAAAAACTTTATATTTTATCTGTATGGGTTTGGTCGATTCTACCCACCTCATAACCACAATAAAAAAAAAGTAAATAGATAAAAATTAGCATTTTTTGCTCTAGAATTACTACAAATTATAACACAAAACCACAAATGTTTAGTCTAAATAGCTTAAATCTCATACCATTTTACATATAGAAAAATTATTATTTTTATTTTATTGACCTTTCAATAGTGTCTGACTAACATTACAAAAGTTGAATGATGCGATGCATGCACACTTATGTTACCATATCCAATAATATAAAACTGGCCTTTACAAAGCGACTTGTCTTGTCTGTATTCTAGTGGATCAGTATTTTGTACAATACAGTCACATTTCAGTTATAACACATTATATATGCATATACATTATTACTATTTACAAAGTTCTATTTATAATTATCTCTAAGTTCTTAAATTTCAGTAATTTTTCTTAAAACATAAAACAGTAAATAAAGAAGTATAGAAAACAATCATCTCTTCTAGTTACAAATTTTGTACTCGTTTGCAGCTTCCCATAATTTGCTAAGCCTTATCCAATTTCACATGTGGAGAATGTAAAATAAAATAAATTTTTGTATGTTTCATATATGCATTTTGAAATATCAAAAAATCATACATTGCTATATAAATACTACAGAATTCCACTATAATTTATCAGGCTTAGTAGCTAAGCTGTATTTATGTCTAAGAAAATGATTTTTTAAGCTCAATAATGTCTTTCCTTACCACTTTGAATCTACCATGAAAAGAAAGGGTTTCCCACATAAATACTTCGCAAAGGCTCAGAGAAACATGTGGGGGACATTCTGAGCTTTTGATTGGTTATTCAAACAGTATAGACAGAAGTATGTGTACATAAGCATTTCCAAAAATGGAAAGAGGTGGGTGGGGCCACTGTGTTTGATTCACTAAATCTAACGACATCTCACAAATAGAAAAAAATAGGAGGTTCTTATTTTATATTCTAAATTGTCAATATTGGTAATTTGAATTCCTAATTTGTAAGAAATGATAGATTTTTGCATTTGGAGATCATAAACATCTAATCTAAACCAATGCTGCATTCAAAATACCACGACACAAAAAAATCAATAATTAGGATTTTTTAATATTTACTTTTAAATCAAGAAATTAACTAACATATAATACTAAGATTTGAATTATAATCTACAGTTTGATATCATAAAATAGTAGTTCAATAAAATTTTTAATGCAAGTCTACAAACGCAATGACATGGCCTTTGACCCGTGACCATAGAAAGACCTGTCAGACCCATCTAGGTAGGGTTAATGAATAAGGGTAAATGAGAAAAATCATCAAATGCAAGCCTCATTAAAGCAAGATTTTTTTTCAAGTTTACTTCTTTAGGAATGAGAAAACTGATGCATATTGTAACAGTTCTCTACATAAGTTGTTTAGTAAACAAATAAATACTGAACACATTTAAAATATCACTAAATTATTATCATTCAATAGTCGCATGGATGTTACCACAAAAATGTGCACAAATGAAAAGTACTTTTAGGCAAAAAAACCTAATGTAATTTTTAAAAACTAAAAATACATAAACTTGCCATAGTTTAGGAGATTTATTTTTATTTGTTAAGACTAAGACATTAATACATTTAACAACTTATTAAAATTTGACTACATTGATTTATTCAAAGTTTGTGATGTATTACTTTCCTTAAGTGTTCTATAGAAAAGAACCTAAATAATAGTTCATTTTTCATTCTTTACTTACCTGTGTTTCAACAAACTGCCAAGCTATATAGAGCTTTGTCAAATGTTCCAATTCTCGTACAACTTTTGTGTATTCCATATAAGCCTGACGCTCAGTTTTCAAGCGGGTCAGAGTGGGGGTAATCTCTTCATTCAATATCTTATAGAAGATATGTCAAACCAAATGTGTGGCAGAAAAACAATCAAAACATTTTAAAGAAAATAAAGTGAAGCATATATGGTTGGAATTCATTGCTAAATTGCACATTTTCTTTTAATTCTAGTTATAAATTTCTTAGAATTAATTTAACTCGTTAAATGAATGACTAATTATGTTCTTGAATAAAGAAAATTAGTAATGAGTACTGGAGAAGTTTATATTATAAATCTAACAAGTTAAGCATTACTCAATTTCTTCAGTCTGATAAATACATACTAAAATTAAATTTATATTTTCCCACATCACATTCAAATTTGAAACTACTTGCACACAAGTTTTTTCACAGAAGAATATTAAAGAAAAACAAAAAAACATCACAAAGTCATTTAAATGACTATTCCAGAGCAGATTAATTCAAAATTGACCTTATAAGGATTTTAAATGAAAATGTTTTTTATCTCATCACAGAGTAAATGAACTGTAAACCATATCAGTGGTATAGCAAAGTTTATTAGAAAGTTATTAATGAGAATAATTACCGAAATGTTATTGTTTTCTGCCTTCAAAAGGTCAACATTGGCAATGAAATTATGGCTTTTATCAAAATGTGCATATTTCTATATTTTATTTTGCAACATTAAATTCTGCATAAAAGCAGATCTAAAGAAGTAGTTTGGGCTTAGACCTTAAGTATTCTTGAAATGCAATTTTTTAAACTCAGATGTACTTCAATCCAAACTATTGTAAAAACATATTACTTATGACAATGTAAAGGCGTGATCAGGAACCAATTTGAAAAATAAAACACCATCTACAAACCTACCAAACAGCACAATAGTGTGAAGCTTAATTAGAGGAACTATAGAAGAATTCCTTTAAGTTATTATGACTATTATAGTAATATTTTAAAAGTTCTACATATCCAGATTGAAAATACTCCAATTGCCCAATTCATTAGATTATGCAAACAATAACTTTGAAGTCAAAATACATCAATAAAAACAGTTAAAATCATAATATTCAGTTATTCTAAGATGAAAGTTTCATTTCACACAGGTCTCATATAGGAAATTTTAATGTAGGACCCATATTACGCTATATTTATTTGACCATACATATTGTTACAACAGCAGAAGTCACGCTATACTGGGAGCATGCATGCTGGAGTTTCTAGCAGGATCGTGATTTATTGGGTAACCTCACGAATGTCCCAGCATTTGCTAGACGCCCTCTTTTTTAGTATATAAGCTGGAGATAGATTGAAGATAGAGATAATTGAGTCAAGCGAACAGTAGGCACCGTAAGTAAAGTGTGTGAATCGCTGTGAATTATAGTGTGTGTTTATAAAAGTAGTTAAGATGTTTAGCTACAGAAGATGGTCATGCTTACTCTGACGGAATCTTGTTTATTACTATTGTTAAGACAGCGGAAGTCACGTGACGCTAGTAACATGTCATGAGATTCTTGAAGGATCTTGACTTTTCCTGGCAACTCTAGTCTTTTCTAGGCACCCTCTATTTTATTATATAAGTCCAGCAAATAAAGCGGAGATATAATTGCAGATAGAGAGATATAGAGACAGATAATTGAGTCAAGCGAGCTGTAGTGACCGTAAGTAAAGAGCGTGAATCGTTGTGAATTATAGCGTGTGTTATAAAGGTTGTTAAGTTTAAAGTGATTGTGGAAATTCTATGTATTGCAAAGTTGTATCGAGAAAGAATAAACTAGTTTTAATTAAGAAAGGACTTGTATGCTGAAGTTTCTCTGAAAGAATTTTTCCAGGAAATTAACTAAGGAGCAGAGATGTAACAATATATATACAACATCTCCCTGCTAAGCTCATAAAATACCTCAAGAAGTTAGTGAACAAAACAGTCTGCTTTCATTGTAGTACACAGTACTTATAACTGTATACGAGAAGGAATAAAAGATACCCCACATAATATACAATATAACTAAATTATTCTCTCTTTCTTCTTCTTTTCATTGGAATAGTTTTTTTTAAATAAAAATTAACCACTCCTCACATTTGAAATAGTACACAGAAGCATTTGTTTTCTCTACTCTTATTTCTAAACACCAAGGCCTACTCCTAATTTCTGAATAACAGGTTATTCTAGTAAATATACAAAGACTGAGCATTATCTTGTATACTCAAGATACTTGGAGAATGCAGATCAATGACTCACAGTGTCAATCTCTTTCAGCTTGGCATCTTTTTTCTCAATTGTTTTTTCTGCTGACTGTTTTTTGCTTTCATACATCCTGGTACCAGCTGCTTCTTCAATCATAGATAAAATCTGTAAAACAGTTACTGAAACTATTATATTTCACATACATTAACATATCTTCAAACAATAAAACTAAATTACATATCATTACCTATTTCACATTTTTCATCAAATTCTAAGACAATAAAATGTACTTAATGAGACAAATTTTCACAACTTAGTATAACAAAATGGATACAGTACAAACAGTAATTTAAACAAAAAGGAAAAAAAAGAGTACAGATACTATTCTTTCAATAATTATTCTAGAAATTTTTAATGTCTCAGTTTTTGGTTTCACACAAAACATCAATAAAGCTGCTTAATGATAAATTAAAAACATGAAGTAAATACATAAATACAATAAGGAGCCATTTCTTACATGTTGGAAGAACATAAACACAAATTTTACTTACTAGGAACTATAAAGTTCAGATAGATCTAGAATTTTTATTACAATTATTCTTCTACATTCATATCTAGAATGAAGTGATTTAATTGATTAATTTATACAAATGATTACTTATGAACAGCAATTACATTGTATCCCATAAACTAATAAATTAATCGAAACTATTATCAAATGATTGATTAATGAAAATTAGTGTTTCTGATTATTACAGTTTTCATTCATTCCAATAATTATGAAAAAATCAACTGTCATTAAAAAAATCAACTGTAAAATTAAGGTTTCTAATTATTCCAACCATCCAATTAATTGAACAATTGCTATTACATTTTTAGTTGTTAAACATAAAGTTACATAATTGGCTATCTGTGCTATGCTCAATTTTTGCCTTAAGTTGTTTTTTTTACGTCAAGTTTGTTCAACTTTGGTCATAACTGTGTGTGTGTGTGTGTGTGTGTGACTAGAGGAAAGGTAACTTGTTAGCAACATCAGCTGCCACTTTTTTTTTCTTATACGCAAGTATATGCAATACTATACTAACAAGGGACTTTGGTTAATCAATTAACAAATACCACTAATAACTGAGCTCTCTACACATCATTGATGATACATTTCCAAAACACACTAACCTCCTCTCACACCAGCTTTATCCCGATGAAAGGTTCTCTTCTTTGCCCATTTAAGCATTGGTATGAATTCTACATCCCTTGCTCCAGTCTTTATACTCCACTATATAGCTCCGAGTGATTTTAATCTTGTGACTCTTTCCACCTATATCAATGTGCCCCCTATACCCGATACATATATAAGCTCCCCATTATTTTTTGTTATTCACTTTCTCTTGACAGCAAAGATTACGAAGAATGATCTTACATGTTTACTGCAGGTTTCTCGTCATTTCTCACTATTTCTACATTTTCTTTTGAATTATTTTAGATCTTTTTTGTTGAACTTTCTAGATTTAAAAAAAAAACACATTTTGAGACATGTTTCAAATATTCATGTCTCATACAAGGAGTTGGCATTGGGGGGGGGGGGCACTGTCTGCAGAGGATCTACAGTTCCTTATACGCAGAGAGATAGTCTTACATGCAGTCTTTTTAGGTTGTTGTTTTTTTCTCCAGTTGGGTCTGAGGCTGAGTTTGTGGGAGATCAAGTGCAGACTAGTGACAATTTAGACTATTTTTCCAGTGCCTCCCTTTACTCAGGCAGCTACTCATAAACCTTGGATGGACATTCCGCCTCCTGCACCCTTTTTACAACTAGTATGCTATGTTTGTAATATTTGAGTATTTCTCCTGTAGATTCTTTCTTGGTAGAAACTAGTTCATCTGGTTACATGGTCCTTTCATCCTCGCCAGACAATGCTGTGCATGCAAGGAGATTGGCAGATCAATTGAGGGAGGGTGCTGCGATGCCTTGTCCTCCTCATTTATTGGATCAGCATTCTTTGGCTTTTCATCACCTGGAGAACTTTTATTTGGACTCTCAGAGGTTAGACCATCTTCTTCCTATTTGGGTCTCTATACAAAATGCCACTGTTCATCTTAATCAATCTCATTTTCCAGAATTAGTTTGTCTCTTACAATAGTTTTGCACTTTTTTTATCATCTTTGCAACTGTTGTCTGAGGCCTATCATAGATCCCCTGCTCAAATTTCAAAGGATCTTAGTCATTAATTGACTTCCACATTGGTCAGGTTATTGGCTTCTGATCTCTCCTTTATATCTTGGCTGGTTTGTTGTTGGGATCTTTGGAGAGAGATGGCTTACTAGAGGAAGTTTGCCTTCCTTTAGAGATCTTAGAGAAATTCATTTTCTCAGACAGTCTATATTTGTGGGAATTCCAATCACCATGGAATCTCAAGTGGATGTGGCCCATCTATGCTCTTCACTTTCTACACTGGCTTCTCAAGTGTCCCAAAGTTCTTCTACAGTACAGTTTACTGCATCTCCAACTCGAATTTCCAGACCTCCTGCTTTGGCACCATGATCCATTGGAACACAAGGGTGATTTCAAACTTACCAGTGGGAATTCTGTATTGGTGACTACTTTATGGGGTCAGGTCCTATGGGGTCTCGTCTCAAAGGGTTCATGTCAGTATGGGAGACATTCATCACAGATCAGTGGGTCATTCAAGTTCTCAGGAGTAGATTGGTCATTCAGTTCACGTCTCCTTCTCCTCTGTCTCTCATATGGATTGGCTTTCCACTCCCCATGGACCCTCTTAGATCCAACCATCAAGCACAAGCCATCCAGGATCTTCTGCACAAAGAGGCTATAGAGCATGTCACCTCCTCTCCCAGCTGTTGGTAGTACTGAAAAAGACAGGTGATTGTTAATTTGTCATGAAACTATCTCTTCTTAATCGCTTCCTCCAGCCTCCTCAGTTTACAATGGAGTCATTTTTTTCCCTTCAGTGCCTCTTTTCATTCAGATAATGGATGACAAAATTCAACATTGCAGATGCCTACCTTCATATCCCGAACATCAAGTTATCTCTGTTTTCTGCATGACAACCACGTTTTTCAGTTTCATGCTCTACCAATTGGCTTTGCAACTGCTTCATAAATTTTTTGCCAGATAGTCAGAGCTTTATCATGTCATTTTCACTCCCTTGGCATTCACACTCACTATTACATGGATGACTAACTTTGTCTTGCCCCTTCCCACCATTTGGCAGAACTGCACACTCAAACTCAATTATCAGAAGCTGTGAGAGCTGGGTTTCTTATCAAAAACGAAGAGTACTTAATCCACTTAGGGGTGTTTTTCAATTCCAGACTAAGCCTGGCCCAACCTTCTCCCCTATGCCATCAGGCCAAGGAATGGGCAGTTCTTCAAATACAGTGGTTTCCTCCACCAGCATGCACAGTTCTATCTCTTTTGGGCATGTAGGCATCTTCGGAATCACCCATTCCTTTTGGTCGGACCCAAATGAGGGCCCTTCAATGGCATTATGGGACCAGTAGAATATTTGCACAGATGTGCTGGACTGTCCAGTGAGACTGTCAGATTCCAGTTTGCTGGATCTCAGCTGGTGGTTGAACAGGGGCAACACAACAGTAGGAGTCCCTCCACCACCTCCATGGCCAGAGATGCATCTGTTCTCAGATGCTCCTCTTCAAGACTGTGGTGCTTGTATATAAAATATGGAATTCAAGGGATTTTGGACAGTAGAGGAAGCTTCTCTCCACATCAGTCTCTTAGAAATTTTAGCAGTTCAGTGAGCTATGACTCAGGGTCTTGAATTGTTGCATTGAATTGAAGTGGTAATGTATTATTTGGACATTTCTACAGTAGTCTCAAACATTTCAAAGCAAGGTGGCACTCACTTCAGATCTCTGTTTTCAAACAATGGATCTTCTCCTTTGGTCACACTAACACCAGATTGTTCTCCTTGCTTGTCATGTTCCAGGGGTAATGAACCTTGTGGCTGACCAGTTATCTTGTCCAAACAGATCTCTTCCTACTGAATGGATGTTTCATCCTCAAGTTTTTTTGTTGATCTGCTCTTGTCTAGGGACACCACAGAATGATGCTTTTGCCACACACTGGAATACTCAGCTCCTGTCCTTCTGGCCGCAAGTACCTCAACCTCTGGCTTTGGAAGTAGATGCTCTCAGCTTAGAATGGACAGGTCTTCATTATGCATTCCCTCTGATTCATCTACTTTCCAAGGTTCTGGCACTGATTCATTCTATATCCTGTCTTCATCAGTATGCGTTCCCTCTGATTCATCAACTTTCCAAGGTTCTGGCACTGATTCATTCTATATCCTGTCAAGGTCTTCTGGTGGCACCATATTGGCTGGGTCAGCTCTGGTTTCCATTCCTCCAGTATTTTCAGGAGCATCAACCTCTTCCACTTCTTTCTCGGCCATCTCTTTTACGCCAGCCTAGGTCTGACATTTTTCATGGACCTTCTTGTCATTCTCAGTTGGATCCTACTCAGTGGCAAGTATGCTTTTATAAATCCACACTAGCTACCAGTAGACTAATAACTAAATGTTTGGTAGCAACGAGCTTTATGAAGATGGGTGTTCCATGGACAATCATGAGTAAAGCATAAAGGGAACTTTGCCCATCACTGATAACACCTGGATTGAACAAATAGAGGGTGGTGTGCTTTTCAAAATAGGGAACGTGGTTCATCTATTGCACTGTCTCCAAAGCATCGTTCCTCAGGACACCCCACCACTCTGTTTCCAGTCACCGGAGTGGTGGACAGAGGTCTATTACTCCTGAGTGTTGTTTGTACTCTTTATTTCACTCAAAGGAAAGAATAGAGCATAGCTGGATACCCTCCCACCCTTAACCCTGGGTGCTTTTCTCAGATATCTGGTGGAGAGATGGAGCAGCCTAAGCTGGAGCCTCCTCGTAATTTCGATTAAAAGATAACACTTCACTATCTTGTTGTGTGAACGAGGCCCATCTTTTTGGTTATTCTATTACTTTCCATGATTGGGGAAGAGGGTCCTTGACTCCTCTTAATTCTGCACACTGAGCATCACATCCATGAGCCATTGGTTGAAATTCATTTGTTCCACATCCTCCTCATAATTCTGGGGGCAGGAGGTGTTGCCTTGCCTCCCAGATTGAGGAGTTAGGATTTTGGTTACTAATCCCAGGTTGGATGATCTCCGTTTCTTCAGGCTGAGTGAGCCATGAACTGGCTCTGTAATTCTGAGTTCACATTGTTGCATTCTGTGCTTCTTCAAGTTGGGGGGGGGAAGACTTGTCCAGTTGGGTGTTGCTTGCCTTCCCTTCATACTTCCAGTGGCTAGCATACGACATTTTGTAACTTTCAGATTGGGTTCTTGGACCCACAATTCCTAGTTCAGTTTGTTGCATTTTGTGCTTCTTCAGGTTGGAGTGAGGGTTTATCCACTTAGGTGTTGCTTGCCTTCTCTTCATAATTCCTGTGGCTCGATATGCAACATTCTGTAACTTTCAGGTTGGATTCCCTTCATATTATATTCCTATTACACAATTATCTCATATTGCGATCCCTGTGCTCTAGCCGCTACAACCGGGATATAGTTTTGCATCCACAGCCCTATAATTTCAATGACCAGACTAGGAATCTCGTCTGTGTGGTTGGGGCCTGGACGAATTTTGTGATAATGAAAAATGTTTAGATTTCACTTTATCTGGGCAAAGAGCATACCTGTCCCAGAAGTAGTGCAGACCCCCACTAGCGTGCTTTATTATATTCCAATTTTCCACACCTGCTTTTCTAAGCATACACTCTCTGTGTGGATCTTGCCCTCACCAGCCCCTCTATCTTCTCAATGTGGGATTCTAACTAAAGTGTGAGAAGAGGTGTGTTTCGGAAGTTTACACTTTCCTATACCAAAAATTTATTTCCAATAATACTTACTTCCTCTCACACTATCCCACCCTTCCTCCACATGATAATGAGCATTTGGGTCTGATAATCTGGCCAGTCTCGAAAAAGTGAATAAGAAAGAATAATGGAGAGATTATATACGAATCGGGTATAGGGGGCACATTGACGTAGGTGGAGAGACAGAGAGAGAGAGAGTCACAAGATTAAAATCGCTAGGGGCAATATAGTGGGGGTATAAAGACTGTAACACACATGGCAGAATTCATACCAATACTTAGATGGCCAAAAAAAGAGAACCTTTCATCAGGATAAAGCTAAAGTGTGAGAGGAGGTAAGTATTAATGGAAATATATTTTTGGCATAGGAAAATGTAAACTTTACAGAAAGTTATATAATTTTTGTAAATTAAAATGATTAAATAAAAGAAAAACACTATACTAATCTTATGTTTTAGGTCTCAGATATTTTACATATTTAAACAAGTTTAAATATATATATGTACCAACATTATATATGGGTGTAGAAAAATAGTTAACACTTTAATTTTCTGACATTATATAGACAGATTTAAGATTATCAAATGCACCATGAGAAGTGACAGAATATTAAATTTCAAACTAAATGGACTGGAAAAAAAGGTATTTCAAATAGTATAAGTGATCATTTCCATCTAGCACCAGAAGTCACTAAAGTCTAGGTTAGTTCCTTTTTTCCAATTATACAGCAAAAGGATTTAAACTAATAATAATAACTTTATGCTTTGCTTTTAGTTAAATCTGTTTTTTCACACAAATAATATTTTTCTGACATTTAACTAAAGTGAAATAACCCGAACAGGAATATCCAAATAGGAAGGGATACAGTTACATCTATTAAGTAACATCATCTTAAACATAATCATAGTTTTAGCTTGTCTATGAGAACTCAGCACACTAAAAAGTGTTGTAAATTGTACCTCTGGAGGTTTCATGTTAAGTACTTTGGTGATACGTCCCTGCATGATCAGAAAGTGTGGGTTGTTCACATTTAATTGTACAGAGCGAAAAAGGTCCTGAACTCTAGTATTATTTGCATTGCATCCATTGATGAGATACTTATTTCGACCACCAATCACTACCTGTTCAGAAAAAAATAAAACATTAACACACACTTTTAATATATATATATCTCTCTCACAATATCCTAATTTAATAGTTTTATGTTACCAAAATATTAAAAATTTAAATTTTCTGATATATTCAAGCAGTTTGTCTAAAAATCTAATTGGAAATTTTGTTGACTTAATTGCTATTGTTTGGCTTCATTGTCTCATTAATTAATTTTTGGAAAGATCATTTGATGTCAACCTTTTTCCCCGAGTACCTATGGCACATAATTTTATATTGACTTATAACACTTTTTTTTTCAAGTGGTCTTGCCCTTTCCTGATTTAACCTTCCTTATACAATGTTCCCTAAAAGAGGGATTGTAACTAGAAAGAAGATTCTCTTCATCTATCATATGACTTACAAGTTTAAACATCTTTGCTCTTCACAAGTGATCTCTGTAACAAGTTTGACAGTCTTTCAAGTTCATAAAATAACATAACATTTCAGATTAAAAAAATGATAGGGTGCTTTTAATATATTTCATGAATTTTATGGTTAAGAGTAATGAAAACTCAATGAAGGTCACAGTTCAGGGTGGATGTATTGAAAATATTTTTATTACTGAAGGGAATTAAAGGTCTTCTAAAACATTTATTTATTGGGGAAAAAAATTCCCACACAGCAGTTGAAAGTTCCAAAAATTTAAGCTTTTGTTCTTGGTGATATTTATGACCTTAAATGGGATGACCAGGGAATAAGTGCAGCTTTTAACCCTAATACTTAAAATTCCTACAAATACTGAATATATCCTGTACAAATGGAACATTACAAATGTTCTAATATTTAAGCTGTAAAAAATAGAGAAATATCATACTTATTAGTTTGACTTCTGCTGTTATTATGAATCAGTTTAAGGAATCTATTATGGATTACTTGAAAAAGTCTCAAAAGAACAGTTTTCACACAATAATAGTGAATTAAGTTTTAATATTCAAAAGTTTTAATAATTGCATAAATATTAGTTTTATATTTGTAATACTTAATAAACAATAATTTTGTTAGCTTTCACAATAAATAAAATTCAATTTTTCTATGGTTCATTTATCATGTCATGAACAGTTATGCACAATTAAAAAAGTACTAGCTGAATGCCCATCATATGACAGTAATTGCTGATTAATTTTTCTTCTGAAAAATATAAATGCTTTATTAACATTGTCTAAAAATTGATTATATTATAGTAACAATATATGTGTAAAGAATGTTTATCCATTTTCTAGTATTACATGAAAACATTTTTTGTGTGTATTTACTGATCTCCTGTAAGTGGTCCTTGATTAGAATTTTGATTTATGTATAATTTTAAGTTATGTTTAAGTCTGCTTCTTGGTAAAGTCTTATAGATTGAACCATGCAAAAACTAGATCTTGAAGAAATGTCTGACCCTGTGATTTAATAATTGTGATAGCAAAGGCAATGAATTTGAGGGTGAAGAGAAAATGCATGAAGATATAACTTTTCATAAAAAATGCTTATAAGATTTTTGACTAAATTTTAAAAAATCTCTTACCTAAGTTGAAAAACATCAATAATAATGTATTGTAGCATCATCTGTTGCACAGAATATATATAAGTTCTGTTTGACACAGACAGACACTAGAAACATGATAGGATTCCCCGTTTGAATCAATAATGGTATTCTTATTTTTCCAAACATTCAAAGAGCTTGCTGTACACGTGATAATAAATATTTAAAAAATAAATATAAAAAAAACTTAACATAAATCTTGATGCAACTGGGATTTGAACACGAGACTTCCACGTGATAGTCTAGTGCTATAACCACTGTGACATCCAGTCTTTGCAATTTAAAGTTAACAAATAATTGAAATACCTAATTTAAACAATCATGTTATTCTGGTTTTTCCTGAGCCAATTTGAATGTTACCAACAAAGCAAACATTACGAACAAAGTGGCTTTTATATAGTTAGGAGAAAATGACATTATTAATGATTAAAT